TCATTCTACTGATGACGATGGCGATCAGAGACATGTCCAGGTCACCTAGTTAACAAGGGACAGAGATGGCATTTGAACCAAGCCTTCTCTAAAGTCTGTGACCTTGACAATATTATGAAATATGCTTGATAGTGTATCTTGTAGCACAGAGGTAGCTCATGAAACAATGATATTTGCAGAGAGCAGATTTTTGCAGGTGTGCATATAATCTCTATTATTCAAAGAACTCCACATTGCAATATGCTCTTAGGGGTCTCAAGTAGTTAATATCTTAATCAAGAAAATCTGAAAAGTTCTAGAAAATGTAAATTTTATTATAAGCTACAGAATGATAGGAGGAATTAGAATAGGGAAATCAGGTTGGGTTTGAAGTGATCCCGAGGAGAGTAATTATGTCTTGAAATTGAGAAAATGGACCTGAGATTCAGAGCAAAGTACGTCATAACGTTAGGTGGAAGAAGTATTCTGAAGATAAAAGGCTCCTTGAACCTGAAAACGGAAAAGAATAATAGCCAAAATGTACTGAGCCGTAATATTATTCCAGGAGCTTTCTTAGATCATAAAAACATTAAAACGTTTAGTAGAAAAAAAGTGACATGGAATTGGATGTTAGACCCTAAGTCAGGTCAAAGAATAGCCTATAGCTTGTTGGTAGGAAATGAGACAGACATAGTACTGCAAGTCCTATTGATATTAAATAACTTATCTTAAGTATTGGGAATGTGACTATAAAGTACCTGTTCATCCTCAGCAATTACCATTTAGTGTGTGATATTGAACAAGTTAGAACAATTTTCAAACATACGTAGTTATGTCCTACGGCAATGGATGGCATTAATGTAGTGTGCTATTGGAAAGATGAAAGGAGAAAGGCTAGGAATCCACAAACAAGAACTCTTTAGCTTAAATATTATTTTATTAATAGGAAATAGATTCACAAGGTTCAAAATTTTTAAAATATACTAAAGGAGACTGTTAACACTCCCACCCCAATTAATAAGCTATATATTCCCTTTTGTGGGGATAACAAGCTATTGTTTATTTTTCTAGAGATAGATCTTTGCTCTATGTGTGAGCAAAAGTACTTGCATGTATATATACACATATACATATACATATATAATCTTTTTTACACAAATGATAGTGTGCCATGTACACTGTTTGATGATTACTTTTCCATTTAATGTTTCTTGAAGATCTTTCCCCATCAGTGCACAAAACATCCTTACTGTTTTTGACAGCAGCATAGTGTTGCATTGTTTCTATGTTTTCTTCTTGTGGAAATTTAAATTGTTTGCTACATCTGCTGTTACAAATAATACTTTAATGAATCCACTTGTACTAAAATCACTTTAACATGTGCCAGTATATCTGTATGATAATTACTCAGAAGTAAGTCTGTGGTCAAATGTTATATGTATGTATTAGTTATTTTGATAAATATTGCCACAGAGTGGGAAGTATTAGGGAATTTCTGCTTGAAAGTTCCCGGGGATTTTGGTCACTGGTTTCTTAAATATTCTCTTCAGCTAATAACAAAGTATCAAATAGGATAAAGATATGTCAATTAATGATAACAGGCACAATTTGTGTGTATACTGTATATATAATAATTCATATATTTATGTTATATATAACATATTTTCTATATATAAAATAGATAACTATGTGTTGCATTTTGTATATAACTATCTTTATTATTTCCTTAAGCTACATCCCAGACACAGAATGTGTAGGTCAAAATTCACAAACTTTTGCCTGCGAGATAAAAGGAAGACATTTGATAATCTATAGGGATTGATCTGAGTATATATTACTCACATTCTCATCTGAGGAAAATTTCTGCAAATATACTATAATCAAACACGAAACAATAAATACAATCCTCAAGGATCAATGATGATCAATGAATAGATGTATAGACAGGTAGACACATTGACTATCCAAGCTTGTATAATCTAAAGGCTGAAAAAGAACTTTCAGAAAGGCAGATTGTAAGGACTTTGTAAGTATTCTACCAGTAAAACCTAGGAATTAGGAGATTAGGATAAAAGTGGGGGAGTAAAAGTATTCTGAGTTTTGGCTTCATTTCCATTTCAGGGATAATTAAGGTGATTAGAGCACACCCTACTGGAGAAAACAGTTTATGGCCTTAGAAGTTAAATTATGAGACGAGAGAAAAAGAAGGCAATCACTCACTGAATGAAAAAAATGAGCAGTGTTCAAGTTAATGAAACCAAATAGTGAATGACAACTTCATCAATTAGCAAAAATAAAAAAGTGGGAAAAAGAGAATGTAATAATTCAAATAATAAAAATAAAGCATGATGGAAAGAATAAGATGTAGTACATTAATAATTAAGTTAAATAGGATAGTCTGAATATTCTCATAAATGACTCCGACATTTAAAAAGTAGTTAAAATGTACTCAGATATTTGTTATTTAAAAGTAGTATACTTTAAATAAAGTATAAAAGAGAAGTTAAAAATAAGAAGTCGTACAAAGAGATAGCAGACAAAAGCAAACTAAAAGAAAGCGGGAGTGTAATATCAATATCATAAAAGTAGAATTAAACTTTAAAGTGTCAAATAGAATAAAGATACATCATTAACAATAAGTTATAATTTATGAAGACGATATATTAAGCATAAATCTATCTACACTAAACAACATAGAAACTAAACCTATATAACAAAAGGATCCTAGGTATACAAGAATTTGATAACAATATTTACATAGAATTCATTAAATCTAGGTGGCAGAAAATAGGTTATTTCAAAGATTTTAACAATATATTTAATAAATTTTACATGTATACATGTTTTGTCCATGTATTTAAAACTGTGTATCTTCCCAAAGAGAAATCACATTTTTTTGGTTAACATTTACAACATATATCATGTAATTGGCTGCACAAAAGTTCATAACTAGAGAATTATAGGTCAGGTTTTCTATTAAAATAAAATGGGCTCGGGCGTGGTAGCTCATGCCTCTGACCCCAGCACTTTGAGAGGCTGAGGTGGGCGGATCACTTGAGTTCAGGAGTGCAAGACCAGCAAGGGCCACATGGAGAAACCCTGTTTCTACCAAAAACACAAAAATTAGCCAGGCATGGTGGTGCATGCCTATAGTCCCAGCTACTCAGAAGGCTGAGACAGGAGAATCACTTGAACCAGGGAGGTAGAGGCTGCAGTGAGTCAAGATGGCACCACTGCACCCTAGGCTGAATGACAGAGTACGACTTTGTCTCAGAAAAAAAAAAAATAAATAAATAAATAAATAAATAAATAAAATAAAATAAAAAGGGAAATAATAAAGATAGAATGAAAATACCTAATCACCAAATAATGAAGAAAGATGCTTGGATTTAAGAGGAACTAAACAGAAAAATGAAAATAATTATCTAGAAACCAGTAAAAAAATTCTCATAAAATACTAAGTCTATAATAAAACAAAAAGTGCTCTAAGTGCCTTCATTAGAGCAAGAAATAGAGGAGTAAGGAGGAGGAAATAAGAATTTTTCTTATTTCAAGAAATTAGAAAAATAGTATTAGAATATAGAAATTAGAAATTAGAAATCAGAAAATTAGAAAACTAGATCCAAATAAACAAGAAACTTATGAAGACAGAAACTTAATGAAATGCAAAAAGTCAAGAGGATAAAGCTATTCTAAAGCTGTTTTTTTTTTTTTTTTTTTTTAAAGACCTGTAATATAGGAAAACCCCTTGGGAGTCAAATAAAGAAAAAAAGAAAGTCAAACAGGCATCATAATGAAAGTGAGAACTTTTCATGTAAGGGAGGACACAAGAATTATAAAGATCAAATGCAACTCTGTGACAAAGCATTTGTTACAGAAATGAGTACTTTTCTAGCAAAATATAAAGTATCAGAATCAACTACTATCAAATTACCAAATTGAAATCTTCTTTCTGAACAATCACAGTTTTTATCTGATATTTCTTTTGAAATATTAGTACTGTTAATTAGATTACAAGGTATTCTAGTCCGTGAGCCAAATTCTCTTTGCAAAATAAGTATTTGAGTTCGAATTCTGAAGCCATACTGCTTGGGTTTAAGTCCTGGCTCTTTCATTTATTTGTCTGTATGAAATTGACCTTAAGAAAATTACTTAACTTTTCTGTGCCTTATTTTCCGCTGTACACAACAGGCTTGGTGATACTAATAGTAACAGTAATTATCTCATAGGCTTGCTATTCAGACTCCATTATGTAATGAACAAAGAAAACAGTTAATAGAGGATTGGTGCAGAGTAAGAAATGTAGCAATTATTTTGCCTTTGATTTTGTCCGTTCATCCAACAAATGTTTTTGAACATTTGCGTTGGTGTCTGTTCTATTCTACCTACAGATGCTGTGGAAGTAAGCAAGAATAAGTACCAGCCCTAATGAAGTTTACATTTTACTGGGAAAGAGAGACAATATACGTGACATAGTATAATTTCAAGGAGTGATAAGACCATTGATCTATTGTGTGGTGATTTATAGCCAATAAAAATAGTTTAGTGTTCAGTTATACATAATACAATGCTCATTTCTATTATAACCTTCAGCTTACATATGTGACGACAGATATGACAAAAAGTTCAGGCTTCAACAAGAAGGTTTAGGTTTGAATCTCAGCTCTGCTATATGCTATTTACCTTTGATCAAGTTTACTTAACATACCCACTTTGATTTATTCTTCTGTAAAATAGAGATACTAATACCCCTCTCCTAGAACTGTGATGAGATTAAATTAATTAAATGGCTGTAGCATGAAACACGTTAGTTTTATCTTTCCTTCCCTCTCTCCATTCACTCATTCATTCATTCCCTTCCCTCTTTCTATTCATAATTCCTTCTTTTCTGTTACTTTTCTTTATGCTCTCTCTTCTTTCTTTGGTCTTTTCCTTTTTTATTTTTCTTTTTCCTTGGGAATTATGGTACATGTTCATTGATACATGCTTGAAAGCAATCAGAGTAAGATAAATATTTGTCTTAACATGCTCTGTCTTACAGGTTAAAGAGAGAGTAAAATGGAATGGGAAAACCACACCATTCTGGTGGAATTTTTTCTGAAGGGACTTTCTGGTTACCCAAGACTTGAGTTACTCTTGTTTGCACTAATCTTCATAATGTATGTGGTCATCCTTCTGGGAAATGGTACTGTCATTTTAATCAGCATCTTGGATCCTCACCTTCACACCCCTATGTACTTCTTTCTGGGGAACCTCTCCTTCTTGGACATCTGCTACACCACCACCTCTATTCCCTCCACCTTGGTGAGCTTCCTTTCAGAAAGAAAGACCATTTCCCTTTTTGGCTGTGCAGTGCAGATGTTCCTTGGCTTGGCCATGGGGACAACAGAGTGTGTACTTCTGGGCATGACGGCCTTTGACTGCTATGTGGCTGTCTGCAACCCTCTGAGATATCCCATCATCATGAGCAAGGATGCCTATGTGTCCATGGCAGCTGGGTCCTGGATTATAGGAGCCATCAATTCTGCAGTACAAACAGTGTTTGTGGTACAATTGCCTTTCTGCAGGAATAACATCATCAATCATTTCACCTATGAAATTCTGGTTGTCATGAAATTGGCCTGTGCTGACATCTCAGGCAATGAGTTCATCATGCTTATGGCCACAACATTGTTCATACTGACACCTTTGTTATTAATCATTGTCTCTTACACGTTAATCATTGTGAGCATCTTCAAAATTAGCTCTTCTGAGGGGAGAAGCAAAGCTTTCTCTACCTGCTCAGCCCATCTGACTGTGGTCATAATATTCTATGGGACCATCCTCTTCATGTACCTGAAGCCCAAGTCTAAAATGACACTTAATTCAGACTACTTAGAAGCTACCGACAAAATTATATCCATATTCTATGGGGTGATGACTCCCATGTTGAATCCTTTAATCTACAGTCTTAGAAACAAGGATGTGAAGGAGGCAGTGAAACACCTACTGGACAGAAGGTTCTTTAGCAAGTGAGTGCAAAATGTACTGGAGTGTGAACACACTTGATATTGTTGAAACTTCAGAACTATGTTAGAATTTTGGATACTTTTACTGTTTTTCTGCATTTTCATATGTTATGTTAAAATAATGAGATACAGCATTTCAAAATTATTGCATGTTCACTCTAGAGAATTTGCAAGATACAGGGCAGTAGGATGAAGAAGAAAGAGGAGTTACTTGTTACTCTAATAGTGGGAAATGGCCACTTTTCAACATTTTGAACAGTATCTTTCCTATTATGGTTTTTTTTAATGCATTGGAATTGGTTGCGATGTGCCTTTTTATGTTCACTTTTTTGCATAAAATTATTTCATAGGCAACATTTAATTGAATCTTTCAAAATAAATAAGGCCATCTGTTGAGAAAAAGCAAAATGGAAAAAACCCCAACATACTGCACTCACATTTTCCAGCGACAAGCCTTGTGTTATAGTTTCACATTAATCTCCAGATCCTGTTAGGTCATTAAATACTATTTTCTTTTTCTGTATTACATCTTTTTCATGTGTGAAGCTGAGTATTTGGGACTATCAAGGGAGCAGATAGAGTTTAAAAGCAGGGCCTATGCAATCACTCAGGATATCCTGCTTTATGATCTTTCTTTGCTTTAACTTACATGTTGGCTTTTGCATAAAGAACATTTTGTAAAATTAAAAATTGGTTTGAAAATCAGTCTACTGGTCCAGATAATAATGTGGACTAGTTCTGGGTTGAATGGAGTGTCCTATCAATGCCCATTTAGAAGATGCCAGATTTCTTTGCTATCCCGAGGGAATTCCAATATTTTTCCAAGTCTTAGAAGAATGTCCAAGCTCTTGATTTTTAGTACGAATACTATTCAAGTCTTGTCTCTGTTACTAACCAGGTTGATTTGAGGAAGAAGAGGATTTGGGAATGTCAGACATTATATTGCTTTTCCTCAGTTTTTGTGTCAACTTTTTACACTATGTGAAGAACATTTTAAATTTACAGCCCAAGATGAATGACAGAGTGTGCTCAGGAGTGAACCACATTCTAGGTAATCAGTTTGGCTGAATCAATTTTTATTAATGGACCAGTGAATTTAGAGTATATTGGGCATAAACATATTTTACACAGACAAATAAGAATTACCTGCTTGTGGAATCTTTTAGGTTTAGTCACTCATTTAATCTTCCCAAGTTCACTTGTTAATTTTAGTGGATGGAATATTAAGCAGTCACAAACTATATTTAAATATATCCATCATAGCTGTTTACAGATTAAATCTGATGGCAAGAGTTGAGATCATTGATAATTAAATTTATATCCTGACAAAATAGGCTATGAGAATCTATTAGTTCCCATACACCAGTTCATTGGACTTTTTGCACCCACTAGGAATTCCAGGTAGGTAGAAAGCCCTGAAAGTCAGGCATTTTATGTTTGACTCACAGGCAGGCTGTCTTGAATGCTCAAGTTCTAATGTTGTTTTCCTTCACAGCTTAAATCCAGCCAGTTTCATAAATTCTCTGGGGTGACTGAGGTAGCTCCATAGTCTTATATCAGATTTATAAATTTTTGATAGAAAATTTGTTAAAGCAAGAAGAAATTTTAAAACACACGTTTCTCCTCGCAGGAGAGTATTAGGAGAGTTTTCCTCTCACAGGGTTGTAGAATCAAGGTCTGAAGAAAATAAAGACATGTTACCTGTCTTGATATATTTATGTGTTCAAATTTGCTGGGCAAAATACACTATCATTATAATACTGACATAATGCTTTATTTTAATACTTGGGCCTCTGGAGGAGTTTTCATTCAGAAAATTTTTAAAAGCTTAAGGAGGATGATTTTGTTGTTAGCAACTTGTTTTCTCTAATTTGGAGACAAAGTAAGATAAACTTATGTGATATACCAAGTATGTATCTGTGCGTGTGTGTGTGTGTGTGTGTGTGTGTGTGTGTCTAGTTTGCATATGTGTAGTGTGTGCATGTCCCTGGTGAAAATTCTACCAGATAGCAAAATCTACAAAGGTAAGTATTTCTGTGTATTCCTACCCTCTTTACTCCCATTGCACTCAATTTAGAACATGACATTTATAATATGATTCAATATATATTTATATCCATGAATAGGAAAATTATATGGAAGGAGGTGCAATAGGAGCGAAGGACATGCTTTTATATCCCACTGAAGTCCCAAGACAGGTTCATGATTGGGATTTAAGAGTAGAGACACAGCAAAAATGGCAAAACTTCATTGCTCTTAATCCAACAAATTATTTCATCATTTTCGTACAGTTTTATGCCTGCCCAATTTCCAAATATTCTAAGCTTGAGATTATGTCAACTTTTTAAGGTCCTGGGGACTTCTAAAATGGACACTTAAAAATGTAGCTTGGGAGGCCGAGGCGGGCAGATCATGAGGTCAGGAGATCGAGACCATCCTGGCTAACATGGTGAAACCCCATCTCTACTAAAAATACAAAAAATTAGCCGGGTGTGGTGGTAGGCGCCTGTAGTCCCAGCTACTTGGGAGGCTGAGGCAGGAGAATGGTGTGAACCTGGGAGGCAGAGCTTGCAGTGAGCTGAGATCGCGCCACTGCACTCCAACCTGGGCAACAGAGCGAGACTCCATCTCAAAAAAAAAAAAAAAAAAGTAGTAATATGTTGGCTATCAGCTAATTCACATACATCATCTCTCTAAAATCCTGTGATCTGGGCTATAGTGTCACTATCTCATAGATGAGGCCACAAAGCTTATGGAAGTTAATACATCTTGCCCAAACCTCAAAGTATGCAAGTTAAAGACAAGCATACACACCTGGCTATTCTTTCTTGAGTTAGTTATTCTTCATACTACAGCATGTTTACTTTTCCAGGTTACTTGTCATGACATCAAACACCAGTATTTCTTGGCAGCATATCTGAAATGATCAAAGAAACTATTACCTGCTTCTCAACTTTCATAGCAAGTATATTACATTTCTGGAAAATAACTTACAAAAGAAAATTAATTTAATTATTTATGAAAGAACCTTGACACCATCACATGCTGTGTCCAAAAATGATGCTTAATCACAATTGATAGGAATTAAATCTTAAATTAGGGGAAGATCTGACATTAATTGAGATATGAGAAGGGGAGGAATTTAATATTAGCACTAATATTTCAGAAAAGACTATAAAAATAGCTTGTTTTGTTTTACTAAAGATAACATGCACTTTACAAAAACGGGGGCTCCTAATTTATGGTGTGTAAGTAATATTTTATCTTTGAAATTATGAAATGTTTTTTATGCTGTTTTTGGATGACAACTACCTTTATTTTATTTCTAGATCTGAAATTCCAGAGGAAATATGTGCTTATTGTAAAATAGTCAAATACTACAAAATGTGCAAACTATAGAATTATAGGTCATGTTTTCATATTACAATAAAATGGGGCTGGGGGCAGTGGCTCATGCCTGTAACCCCAGTACTTTGGGAGGCTGAGGTGGGTGGATCACTTGAGGTCAGATGTTCAAGACCAGCCTGGCCAACATGGTGAAACCCTGTCTCTACCAAAAATACAAAAATTAGCCAGGCGTGGTGGTGCATGCCTGTAGTCTCAGCTAGTCAGAAGGCTGAGACAGGAGAATCACTTAAACTAGGGAGGTGGAGGCTGCAGTGAGCCGAGATCGCACCACTGCACTCTAGCCTGAATGACAGAGGCAGACTCCGTCTCAGAAAAATAAATAAATAAGTAAATACATACATACATACATACATACATACATAAAATAAAATGGGAAATAAATAGTAAAAATAGAATGAAAATGCCTAATCACTAAATAATGAAGAAAGATGCTTGGATTCAAGAGGAACTTAACAGAAAAACAAAAAAATTATCTAGAAACCAGTAAAAAAATTCCCACAAAATACAAAGTCTATAATAAAACAAAAAATGCTCTAAGTGCCTTCATTAGAGAAAGAAATAAAGGAGTAAGAAGAAGGAAATAAGAATTTTCTTCTTATTTCAATAAATTAGAAAAATAGAATTAGAAATAGAAATTAGGAATCAGAAAATTAGAAAAATAGATCTGAATAAACAAGAAATTTATGAAGACAGTAACATTTAACAAGTAAATGAGAAAGGTATGAGTAATTTTATAATCACAATGTGGAAATCAATGAGAAAAACCAGGGTTCAACAGATGAGTTCTTGTTGCTGTTTCACATTCATCTCTCAAAGTTCTAAAGTGCCAAAATACACTTCTCTGGTTGCAATACCTAATGAAAAGAATTAAATAAATTTCAGTGTTTGGAAATAAGTTCCTATCCTATTCCATTGGTTGATATGTATATTTTTATCTGAGTACCATGCTCTTTTGATTACAGTAACTTTATAACATATTTTAAAATTGCAGCATATGATGCTGTCAGCTTTGTTTTTGCTCCAGATTGCTTTCCCAGGCAGGGTCTTTTCTAGTTCCATGTACACTTTAGGATTGTTGTTTCAATTTTTATGAAAAATGACATTGGAATTTTGATAGGGATTGCATTGAATCCGTAGATTGCTTTAGGTAATATAGACATTTCACAATATTAATTCTTCCAATCCACGAACATGTAATATCTTTCAGTTTACTTATGTCTTCTTCGATTTTTTAAATCAATGTTTTATAGTTTTCAGCATACAGTTCTTTTATGTCTTTGGTTGTCTTTTCTTTTTTATTTTGGAGAGATTGGCAACCAACTCATCTAAAATGATATGTGATCATTAAATAACAAGTAAAAGAATGAGGGTTCAAAACAAAACAACTCTACATTTTTTACTGGAACATGTTAGCTCTCCTATTAGAAAATTATGCTTATTGGCTTGTATTTTATGAGATGAGGGGTATATAATGATGAGTCTATTTTGAGCTTCTACACCTTGGTCTATAACTTATCCTTAACATCAAAATGTAATGGGATAATATCTATAGCCAAATAGAAAATTTCAAATACTCCCTTGTTCCCCAGTATTGCTAGGGATTCAGCTGTTCCCTTAAAAT